AAATGCCTAGTCTTTTTGCAACAAATCGGATTATTTAATACACCTACAAAATATACCGGGTGTTCTAAATTAAAGCGTTACAGCTATATACCGCTTTTTATAAAAAAAAACGTTTCAGACGAAAGTTTTATAGTTTTGTAGGGAAAAACTTTTGGCTAAAATCGTTTTTTATAGCTAACCATAATATGGCCAACTTTTTTCAAGTAGCTGTTACTCAAAAAGTAAAAGTCCAATAAAAAAATATTTCCCTCAAAAGTTTTTTATTTTTTTATGTACTTTAAGAATATGTAAGAAAAAAAAATGGGATTCCCATTTAAAAAACAAAGATCACCTCGATATGGCCATATTATAGTCAGCTATAAAAAAATGAATTTAGCCAAAATGTTTCCCCCAAAAAACTATAAAACTTTTGTCTGAAACTTTTTTTTCTAAAATGCATATTTTCGGCGTTATTTAACTGTAACACTTTAATTTGAACACCCGGTATAAAGTTTGTATTGAGTTTTAAGTCACCCACCAACTTTTATCCAGAATAAACATTTCCGAGAAATCTACAATAAAATGTTTTTCTATTCACTATAGATCATTTACTACACACACTGTATATGTATATTTAATATATCTTGGTGGTCCTGAATATTTAGATCGGCCAAGGCAACAAAACCCGAAAATTTAAAAGTTTCGTTTCGATAATGTCGAAATTGCCCATTGTTAAGAAGATCGGTGGAACGAGCTTTTGCTCTAGTGATCCCTTCGGATGCCAAGAAATCTGGAAAGTAATTAAAAATGATTAATTAATTTTCTGAAACGTTGCCATCGAGTCGATACTCCATTAAAATCATTGGCGTGGTCGAAATTATCTTTCTGGGAATAGAGATATTTGACAAAGTTATTTGGCAAACAAATTCATTATCATTATTTATCCCTTGAATATGTCACAAAAAGCATTTTTACAATACATGAGTAATTATCATTATATTATAGATAACCCAAGTAGCACATGACGGGTTTATAAAAGCTGTAAGAATATTCTTAAAGCAAATGTTTATAAGATAATAAGATTTATAATTTTACTTGTAGATATTCTTACAGGCTTTACACAACTCTTATGAGCCTAAATTGGGAATCAAATTATAAATCAAAAAAGTTTTTTAGTTCCCTTATAAATGTTTTATTAATGTGCCGCAAAATATAATAAATCTTATTTGTAGATACTTACAAGGGTTTAATAAAGCAATTTGAAATAGTATTTTAAAGTGATATTTGTACCTAACTTATGCTAGAAAATAAATATATTTTTATGTTCAGGAACCGAGTTTTTTTATTGCGACTCTCTTCTTGGGGTTGAAAAACACCCTATTTAATCTTGCAAATCGTTCTCTTTAACATTTATTAAAAGTGTTATATTTATGGTTCTATGTCTAAAAACCGATATATGTCCCAATAGTGTGTGGAAGTTCGATATATCCTATATTATAGAAAATATCAAACAATGTTATTTACAAAAGTTGTAGATAATATTAATCTGCACATTTCAATATTATTTTCGATTATACAGAGTGATCCATAACTTCAGAATTCATCAAACCTATGTTTTTTTTAAATGTACAACACTGTATTTAATTGTAAATTTGAATTCCCCTGACTTTGCCCTTCAATTGTAAATTTGAATTCCCCTGACTTTGTCCTTCAAGAAAATACCAACATGTATGAGGTTATAGTGGGTATTTTGGAAGTTTAAACCAATTTTATATGAAAATCGTACTAGGTTCAACCCTTTGTATACTTCAAAAGAAACAATCAAACATCAAAATTTTTGGTAAATCATTTTTACAATACATTTCAAAAGCAAGTGATAGTTTTAGGGCAAGTATATGAATATATAATTTTATTATAGTATTTTAGTTTGTGGTTCTGAAAAGAACCGTTCTTTTTTAAAATCATTTAAATAAATAATTCATTCGTCAAATTAATACATATTAATATGATGTACGTTTTTTAGGCGCGTTCTCCACGAATTCTTCTTGCCAATTGTATATCTTTGGGCATAATTGTTACTCGTTTGGCGTGAATGGCACACAAGTTAGTGTCTTCGAATAAACCTACCAAGTAGGCTTCGCTGGCTTCTTGAAGCGCCATCACTGCAGAACTCTGAAATCTTAAATCAGTTTTAAAATCTTGGGCAATTTCACGTACTAACCGTTGGAAAGGTAATTTTCTTAGTTTAGTTTTATTTTTTTTTATTTTTATTTTTTTTTTTATTTTTATTTTATTTTTTTTTAATTTAATTGCAACCGATTATATCTATAGTTTCTTTTAAAATCCATTTCGCAATAATAGTTTTAAAGTTTTTATAATAAATTTTTGATTTTAGTTCTTGAGGCAGTGAATTATAAACTTTTAATCTGACGTATGAATAACTACGTTGCGAGAGGGTTGTTCTACATTTTGGTAAGATAATCTTATTGTTTAGATGAAATCTTGTGTTATATTGACGGCACATATATTTAGTTTATCCTCTAAACATTTATAGAGATGCTGCAATAGGTTGTACAAAATAACCGGAAAAAGCCTATAATAACTAGATAGGAAAGTCATGTGTTGGACACATCAGATTTTTTTTATTTTTTAATATACTGTTTCATTCTAAAAAAATTAAAATAACTTATTTTTGGCTCATATTTTTTTCATTTAAATATAAAATATCTTCTAAACTGTTGTGTTTAGGGATAGGGACAAATGAACGTATAATTAAAGTACTTTTAGTAGAGATATGAAATACAGGGCGAACCTAGCCTTAAAAGTAAAGAAAGTAAATTCAGTTGATAATAAATTGTAACTAGGTACCTTAAAAATATAAACTGATTAAACAGTATATTTTAACAGTTTAAATCAAATTACATTGTGAATTTAGTTATAATTAACCCTTTTTAACATTTCATCTAAGAATCTAGCTAAACTGTTGTGTTTAGGGATAGGCAATATTTAACTCAAACGAACGTATAATTAGAGTACTTTTAGTAGTGCTATGAAACATTAAAAAAAAGAAAATCATGTATCTGAGTTTTGACTCACCCTGTACACGTCTGTTGCGCTAGGAAAAAATTAGTATATTATTATAAAAGTAGACTATCATTTAAAATGATTCATCAAAAAATTTTGATGTTCGATTGTTTCTTTTGAAATATACAGAGGGTTGAGCCTAATACGATTTTCATATAAAATAGGTTTAAACTTCCAAAATAATTTTTTTAAGAGGGGTCACGACCGAAAACACGTTTATTTGAGTTCCGAATAGAAAAATAAATAGTATCTGAAGCCTAGCTAGTGTTTTGTATGCGTGATTGTGTCGTCACACTGCTAGTAATTAGATATTATCCGTGGTTACATTTTGTTTTTAACTTTGATTTAACTCCGAAAGGGTTGGATATTAGATGGGAAGCTAAACTAGTTAACTGGTACCGATTAATTATATCTTTTTTATAATTGTTAATATTGAATTCTATTTCCGTTTATATTCCCTGTTCATAACTAAATGCTACCGTAATCCGATTTAATCCAGAACTCCGTGTCATTTGCTTTTATCTGTATATTTATCTAAATCACGTCTGATTGAGCTCCAACCTGTCAAGCCATCGTCCGCAACCGCTCATTTTTGTTATTTTTTGTTCAGGGTTATAACGACTCATAAGGGGGTGGGCTTTGAAATATTTTAATTTTTATTATTGTTAATAGCTTTCGTAAGCAATAGATGTATTAATTTTCAAAAATTTGGCTTATAATTGTGTCGACCTTTCCCTTTTTCTCTTTCAGCTTCGACAATTCTTTAAACGTAACAATAACGATTAAAACCCGTTATTGTTACCCTCTTATGTGTATAGTCTTACATCAACGAGACCCCTGGAGTTTTTCCGTCATCTCCACTAGAAGCTACCTGTGTTGTGGAGCAAACCACATTAATAAAACTGGCGCTCGAGTACTTCCGAGTCCTAGGGTGTCACTAGTAAGGGTAATATTTTCTTAGAGGCAAGAAAACATCTTACAAAATACCCCAAAAGCCCCCCCCCCCAAGAAGAAAATACTTCCGATTTATGGGCCTTTTATTCAAAAGAATATGTTAAAAAAGGGAATGGCTAAAGGAAATGCCCCCCCCCCCCCCGAAAATTTGTCTTGGTTCATACCGGTAAATAAATTCATATATAATATTTTTATACACTTGTACATCCTCAAGAAATCATCATACACTCTCATATATTTTCGCAAATCCTTATCCAGACTCGTATGAAAAAATGTATTTTTTTTTTGTGTAGAATCACCCCTGAAATTATTTGAACGATATTTCCGAGTATCCTGTACATATATATTGGTATGATAAATTTAATGATAATTTAAAAGTCAAAAATTATCAATCTTTTATTTTTGAAATGACTAAAACTTAAAGTTTTGAGAAAAAATTAAAATGTTTCCAAAGGAAAGTCATATTTGATTGATAAAAAAAGAAAAAAAAAATTGGATTTTTTTTTCATTAAATTGTCGCGATTGCCCATTCATACACACATCGTTACAGAAAATCTCGTAACCATTAAAAATGTTTAAAGATAAATAATTTAAACTTTTATAGTCCCTCGTATACACAGTGGTTTTTGGCTGCTCCTGTGAAATGAGATTTTTTTCTTACAAGGTAATAGAGAAATAATTGCATTCTGAAAGCAACTATTAATTACATTAGCAATATGAAGAAGAACGAAATGTAATAAATCACCAACTTTGATTAGTTTTATAGATAAAAAAATGTATTCAGCTAACTAATTCGTCTTGATTCATGGGCATTTAAGGATTAATTCCCCACCAGTTACGAAATACCGGTATACCGTACCTCTACCCGCGTCGCGGCATCGATTTCCTACCCCCTCCAGCGACCCCGGGCGCTTACGCTAACGTGTATCGCTCGACACAGAGCGTTCAGTTGAGGGCCGACATTCGGTTAGTGAAATAGTGCAATGGCCACATGTTATCCAACCTACGAACTATCCCCTCCTCAGCCACAGAGGAGTGTACAAGTGCCCATCCAAAAGGACTATTCGAAACCCTTACACGTCGATTGCAGCGTCGAATACGAACTGCCCAACACAGCTAAGCCCCCGCAGGGGGTCAGGAACGAGCCGCTGCTGATGATCCATCCGTGCTACTTCAGAAAGATCGAAAGCCAAAGAAGAAGTCCTTTTATTAATAATCTTCCTATCACCCGAGCGCCTGCAGCTGTTAAAAGGAGGATGCCCAGGGGACAGCAGTTGCCCCAGCAGGTACCGCAGCAAGCAGCTCAGTATCCGGTGCAGTATTCCACGACGGATAGACAAATTTGGGAGTTGATGCCACCTTTAGTGCCAATTACTGCTAGCGTTGCTGCTACGCAGCCTTACTGCAAGAGGGAAAGGTTATTATCCACGGTTTGCGAACATAGTTATAATACTAATGACGATTCCACTCTTTGGCCCGATCCAGAACATTCGCCTGATCGTCCCAAAGAGAAACACATACTCTCTGGTAAATATAGGCAGTATTTAAGGGCTCATAGACTTCATCCGTATGTTAGTGCGGGAATACCGCTGGCATCGACGTTTTCCCAGATCCAGCAAGTTTGCTATAACGTCTGATTACTGTGATATTATTATAATTATTATTCTGTGGAACCATTCGCCTCATATGTGGTTTTCATGATCTTTCTTGTGATAATAGTGTTTAATAAATGTGACGACGACGATGAAGGGCTAAAGAAGGCGCTTGCGCAGTACGCCCGGGCGTGGTATAGTGGTGAATCTGATAAATCAGCTGTGTACTGTTTTGTGCATTATTCTATCCATCTGGAATTATGGAATACCTATGTTTGCTGATCGATTACTTTCGTTTTACTCACGGTAATGTCTACAATCTAACAATATAATGGGATTTATATTTATATCATCGGTGGTATTATGACTTTTTCCGTTCGATTTAATGGAATTTTGGATACTTGAATGTGATAATGATGTTTTTATTGATACCCGGTGACGGTATAGTTGTGGAAATACCCCTATAGTCACTAAAAATAATGTAATTTACGCTATCTGACGAAATAATGTTCTTTTTTGTTTAATGTTCTGTATCTAGAGTAATTTAAAATGCATCTCATTAACCTTTTTTGAATAGGTATAGAAGAATTTTTATAGTAAAAAATCAAAAGGGATTAAATTTATCTAGTACCAACACAGCAGCAATTTAAAAAAGATTAAACTGTAATAAAATCGGTTATTTTAAAGATTTACCTAAGTCAAAATAATTAGACAAGAAATTTTCTTAAAAAAATTTGGTTTTATTAAAAAAGTAGTCTTGTAGTTTGATGTCCTAGTAAAATGCATGTCCGCACCATTGCTATTAGGTACTGCAACAACTCACTCTGACAATCAGAATTGTAAATATTTCAAATCTAGGTAAAAGTACATTTCGCTTCTCCAGAAGAACAATGACCCAAGTGAAAATTAATGATTCCATAGAAATAGCAAATTAAAATAAAATGTAATATGAAACTTACAACTAAGACGTTAAGGAAAAGTTTGGAAATAATCGATGGGGACTTCGAGATAACAAATTAATTTTAGTTTTAGACATAACTAGGTACTTTATTTTATTCATTTTGAAACAATTGAAGATTTATAGGCCTTACAAGTAAAACATGCACTTGCGTCATTGTTCTTCCGGAGAAGCGATTTGAGTCATCAGAGATTTTTATGAAATAAATAAAAATATCCTTTAATTTTAGATTGTTTTGAAGTATTTTTTTGTGAAACACAAATTTTATTTGCCTTCAAAACTAAAGGATAAAAAAAATAGATGTATTTCAATGTAGAGTGGTATGGATATATCATTAATAGGACACCAAACTACAAGACTACCAAAAGAAATATACCTATTTATTAATTAAAATATTTCATTACCTAATTAAATGATAGAATGAATAGAACAATATATCGAAAAATCGCGCAAGTTAAAGCAGAAAAAAAACTATTTTTCTAATTGATTTATGTGGGTTTTGAAAGGAAATAAAAGCAAAATCTACATAGTCTAAATTGTAATTAAAATTGTTTTCAAATGTAAGGAAATTGTAACAAAGCTTGAATAATAGGATAGCAATGTAAACTAAAAGATCATTTTAAAAACTCTGATTAACTGTCCCTGCAAAAGCAACATATAAATCATCTTATGGAGGGGTTTGTAATGAATTTGAAAAGATCGATTTATTTAAGGGTTAAAGCAATTTGAGAGTTTTATTTTTACACATAATGTGACAAGACTTTTCCTAATTTTGTCAAATATTGACTTACGTGGTTTTTCAAATTACTATTGAATTTAATATTGTTTGAAATAATATAATTAGGTACTTATGTCGTTTATAAAAATATAAATAGATTATTTCTTTTTCGTTTCGACTTTCAAAAGCAAATTCAACAAAATTACAATAAAAAAATTGTGTCAAACCCATTAAAAATTGCTTATTAGACAATTGAAAAAAATGAAAAATATCTTTAATTACCGTTATTTTTACTGATAAATTTATTACCCAATCAACATTTGGGTTTCCTTTAAACACTAAATTCATATTTTTCAAATTTCCAGTAATAAGTAATCTTTATTATTTTCAAAATATTAAAACGCATTAAAAATAGAAATTTCTATTTTTAAAAACTTAAAATAATTTAACAATTTACTAAATTTTTGATACACAACTTTAACAAATTAGTTTTTGTTTCAATAACTTTTTGTTTTGTGCAATGAAATGAATGTTTGACTTGGGTGTTTCCACAACTATTCAAAAGCAGATGTTTGATACGAATGTTGGCTTAATTTGTTAATTGGTATATGTTTATGTACAGAATGTTGGTTTCTATTGAAAAAAGTCATTAGTTTAATATTTTAGAGCATAAATTCATAAGGCAGACATATTTCCCGTCTTAAATGTTTTAGTTAAAAGCCTTTGCAGATGGCCTAATCCACAGGATGTCCTCAATAAGACGATTTTTATGTCATTTTGCATGTGTGTAATATATACAGAAATAATTTTATAAACAGATTGTTGTAATTTGAGCAAATATGTGAAAAATGGATAGAAATCGTATATAGAAGGAAGTAATATTTAAATGAGAAGTTATTTGATACCTAAATGCTGCAATTTAAATGCATAGTTCATTAAAATTAAAATAAGTTTTGATAAAATTACAAATATTTTAATAAGTATAGTCATATGAGTTAAAAAATTATTTTTTTAAGGTCAAAAAGGTTATTCAACTCCTATTTTGAAAATATCTATGATTATTTTTATGTACAAATACCTATATTTAAGTTTTGAAACCACAAAATTATAACTTTAAAGAAAGTTTTTGTTTATTAATAATTATTGTTCTATCAAAAAAAGAAAAATAATCAATGGTTGGTTGAATTAAATCTTTTAGACTATAACTATTACTGCCTTTTTCCAAAAAGCAATTAATTATTTGTAATGTTATTTATAATAGTTCATACATAATTAAAAAAAAAAACTATTGACACTTTTCTTCATTATATTTTTTGGAATTATAAACCAATTTGCAGATTAAGCCGAATGTTCTAAAAGTTACCTATTATTTATTTATTTGAAGATAAAAATAAAAATTTACTTACCAATAAACAAAATTACTTATTTCCAAAATTATATATTACTATTATTATTATTATTGAAAGAATCATAATATCGAATTTAATTTTGAAATGCATCGTGGTGTACGTGGTTTATTTTGCTATATTTTACATTATCTGTTTTCTAATTAGAATATTGATATCAATCTTTTATTACTGTTTAAAGAACTATAAAGAATAAAAAAAAACAATAATATTTTCGATAATAATTTGTTTTTAAAAAATTTCACATTAAAATGCGTCTTCAGTTATCATTTAGATAGTTTTATATTACAGTTAGTAACATATAACACTCGATAAGAATGTATAGAAAACCAAAAAGTGTTTCGACACTTAGAAAAAGCAAATTATGACTTTATGTCACTAGTAAATGATTTTCATTGAAAATAATCGTAAATAGAGAATTTTACGTCAAATACACTAGTGGAAAAAATTAAGGGATTAAAAAAAATCTCGATTTTTGGGAATTTTCAAGTGGCCTGTATCTTTGGTAAAAATGGTCGCACGTGAATGAAAAAAAAAGCAATTTGAAGCTTGAAGTGTTTAGTTTATGGATTTTGCGATAAAAAATTTTTCAACCAACAATTAGCACAAAATCCTGATGAATATCATGGATAGAAAAGCGCGATTCTTCAATTTCTTCAAAAATTCACTCGCATGAAACTACTTGATGGATCAGGTTGATATTTTGTAGGGCTTTTGGTGGAACAATGGCCTGTAAGATACACACTCAACAGTATTCATTTTCCCAATATTCTCAATGTGGCACGTGATTTTCTAAAAAACCTTAAAAAGACCTGTTTTCCGAAATTCTACAAAGTTATGCTAGGGATGAAAAAAAAAAAAAAAAATTTCTCGTGAAAGAACATACCAGAACCTTGTAGAGAATGAATGAAAGTTTCCAAAACCCCCCTTCCATTTTTTGAGCGCCCATTGGTTCTTGAAATATTGACGAGAAAAGAGGAAATGACGCATTTTCGTTCATTTTCTGATAACTCAGCAAAGAAGGGTCATCTCGAGGCCATCAAAAAAAGGAATTGAAGCTAACTGAACCACCTATCCAATGCTTATAGTGGTTATGTCGAGAATTTTTTTTTAAGTCCGTACACTAAAAATAAAAAAAAATTAAAAATTTTCTATCCATGATATTCATCAGAATTTTATGCTAATTGATGGTTGGAATTTTTTCCTTAGTGTAACAAAATGTGGTTTTTCATTGGAAATAATCAGAAATAGAGAATTTTACGGCAAATAAACCTAAAATATTGATTACATAAAACTACTATTATTCCTTGAAATGTTCTAGAACAACTCTAATAACAAAAAAATCTGACTTTGGTGAGCAGGATCTATTTTTAACTGATATTATTCATATTTTTTCAAAAAAAAAAAGCTTTTAAAGCTCGTTTACAGAAAATAACGGTTCTAATTGTGAAATTTTCCTATTTTACGGAAATTTAGCGATAATGAAGTTGATACTAATTGAAAAATTTCCACATTTTGAAAATGAAACAATAATTAAACAAGAAAAATTAACAAATTTCGTTTTATCCATTCGCGATTTATCCAAAATAACGGGGGTTCTACGGGTACCTGAACTTAATCCTATAATCCTAGATTTTTCGCAATAATTCTACCTTTTTCCCAGAAATTATCTTGAGTTAATAGTGGAAGATCTAATACTGCTAAATTGAAGGAAAACCATCAAAAGAATTATTAATTTCAACTACTTATAAACATTTAAAAGACTTCAGTTTGCCGTCGGAACCTAAATAATTAGATTTAAAGTACTTGTAATTCGTATAATTTTCTAGACTGATTGGAAAACTATTTAAAAATCATTTTGAAATAATATTACTAATATTTTCTTAACATCAAATGGTTTATCCCCCTCCCTATTAATCCTAGTGAATAACTAACTAAAATATTGTTGATACAAAAAAATAGTAATAACGAAAATTGTAGAGAATTATAAATTGTTTGAAAATATAGTTACTTATATCTCAGAAAATATTAACATTAGAAACAATAACATTAAAACAAAATAGATATATTTAGATAATAATCTAAAAAAAAATGGCAATTATTTTTGAAGTAGGTTGGGACCATTTTTAATTTAAACTCAAAAAAAATATCCAGAATTCATAGCCAAAACCGGATAAGTCGGCAAAAATGGAAAAATTACTTTTATAATATATGTTTATGAAATTCCGTATTCAGTATTAACTGGTATTCTGAAACAACGATATTTCGGAATATATTTAGAATTTAATTTTTTTAATCTACAATAAAAATTATAAATTCTCGCGTTTAAGTTTTTTTAAAGCTTTTTTGAACTAAAAATAATATTTAACTTTCAAACGCAAACTAGTCACTTTAAAAGGATTTTCCAAGTAACAAATAATTGATTCTGATCTAACTAAGAGGAAATGAAGGTGAAAATTGCTATATTTCATTAATTTAGATGTCATAGATATTATTTTTAACAACTATTGAAAACATTTTATTGTATTTTTTATTTTGGACAAGTTCGCGGTTGACTAAATAACTTGGACAAGTTCGCGTTTGAATGGAACGTCCCAGGACAAATTCGTTTTTGATCGGAAGCAATAAAAACACAATTTGTTTTATTTGAGTAATGTTCAAGTTTTATTTTTTACATATAGGTACTTAAATTTTGAATAGAAAATAATACCTAGGTAAAAAACTGACATTTTTTCATTTTAAAATTGAAATCAAATTAATTTTTCAATCTTGTCAGTTATGCACCCCATAACAATCATATTCTACGCAGTCACATCTTTCATTAACATCATCATTATTATTATTAACAATAGTCAAATGTTCATCATCAATAATGTCTTTGTAGAAGTTTAGGTTCTCGCCTTATAAAGCTGTCAGTATATCATTTACTTTTTTCTTTGCATCCGAAATCATGTGACCCAACTTCTTGTCTTTCAATACAAATGAATCAGATCCCCTCTTTAGAAGTGAACTGTATTTTTCCTATTCGTGCTCGATCTAAAATTTTCATTTGCTTTGACTGTAATATTAGTTTTTCCAGACTTTGTTGTGATACTTTTTAAGTAAATTCTTTTCTTATTACTTATATTCTCAATCTTCTTTAGATGTGTAGAGATACTTTTGGTGTCTTTCAGTGTCCAAGCTGTTCCCAACTGCTTTAAATAGCTCATAATACTCTTTTTTTGTTATCATAGTAGTTTTCTCCCAAAAAAGTTTCTCTAACCTTCCAAAAACACGGTCTGCAGGAAGGAAACTATGGCCTTGAACAGGAAATGTAATGATGATCTCTTTGATAGGACATTGGTGGATTGAAAGGAAGTACATTATAGTGTGTACAATGTTGTTTTTGTTTTGTTCTCCGCATCCATCACAGTAGAGCTTTAATACCTTTTTTTCCATTAAAATCACATGTTTCTAAGAAGTTCAGGAGAGCTGAAGAAACTTCAGTTCTTCTTTCATGAGTTCATAAAAAGCTTGAGCTTTTTCTTTATGAATTCTAAGTTGTATTAACAAGTTAACTTTGACTTCACCAATAGCATTTTTTATGAGGTTTCTATTCTTTTCACAGTAACTACACACGTCAGTTGCTGGACTCTTGAATCCAATATTAAAGTCCTTGTTGAAGGCACGTCGAAACATTGCGTTTGAAAGTTAGCTCCTCGCATGTCTTACCCACTTTTCGAAACTCTAATATTCAATAAGTAAAGCCAAAATCAGATAAGTCTTAATATATGTGTAACTAAAGTAAACTTCAAATTAGAAAAAAAAAATAAAATCAATCCGTTTATTCGATATAATATTTATTATATTTTTTGAAACGACTATCAGTTTTAACTAAATGTGAGCACTTTACTGTCCAGAAACTAGATTGCAACTGATAATCTATCAAATACACTGGATGAAACTAATTGTAATAATATTGTTAAATACCTAAAAGACATTAATATATTTATAATTAAATTTAAAAAAATTATTAGGCACCTCTAGACCGTTGTTGCTAATAACTTAATAATAAATAATAAAAACACCTGTCCGTTTTTGAAGCAAAATGTCCTTATGACTTTTTAATGATTGAAATGTCTTGTTTTTCTTTTTTTACGGCAAATGTCTTTTTTTTATAGCACATACTTTTGGACTTTTTTCTTATAAGGATGAGGACTTCTTGGCAACATTTAATTTCTAATTAAAAGCGGGAATAGAAGAACAACCAATCTTTAAACACTACTATCTAAATTTTATTATTTATCGGGTTTTTGTTCTAAAAGTACTTAAAATCATTTAAAAAAAATCGAGTGTTGTAATTTTTTTACAATTAAAAAATACGTAATGATTGGAGAATGTTGGTATGTAGAAGCCACACACATTCCTTAATAATTGTACATGCATTATTACAATATTTTAAATGGAATTGTATGAGCAATTTAAAATATCGTTATTATAAGTAATTTGCAAAATGTGCTTGGTATAGACAGACGAATACCGACGGCATCGTGAACTAGACAATGATTGTGAAAGTTTTTAAAAGACAAATACTTGAATAACAATACTTCGCATCATTTGGTGGAACAAGAAATTAAATGGAAATGACTTATGCCAAATTAATTGTTAAATAAATACGGCAGTAGTAAAGTTTTATGGTTTCTACGATTTTTTCTTTAAGCCAACTTTGATAGCCCAGCTAACTTATTTCTTTGGGATTTAATATTAGGGTTGCAAACATTATGTTGATGTTAACTCGGAGAAAAATATATTTTTTGTGGAAAAAAGGGGAGATAAGTTTAATCCCTATGAAATTACACATTTAATATATTGTTAGCTAACATAAAAATAGTTTTATGTGGGTAATTTTATTGCTTATGTGTGGGTTGTTTGTATGTGGGATTGTTTTTATGTCGGATCTGTTTTACGAAAGATTACTTTCATGTGGGATCGAGGGGTAAAAGAGGGATGTAGATGTACAGAAAGGAGGATTTGTGAGGAAGTATGAGTATTTCTGTAGAATGTATGATTTCTTGAGGATATACAAGGATTTAAAAATATTAAATATGAATTTATTTGCTATAAAACTGTTAACATTTTTAAATTGCACTTAAATAAAATAGAAATGAAACAGTTTTCATTTTACTACTATACCGGGTGTCCCATTATATTTTCCAACATTTAGGAAGCTTATAACTTTTAAACGAAAATACTTAAAAACATGCGGTTTTCACCGAAACGTATAAAATTATTCCAAGTTTTATTTTGATCAATCCAAAATTATTTAACACTTCCGGTTTATTGAAAAACAAAATGACGGATTTTTAAAGACGTATTTGTTAATTTTTTTTAATGGAACACCCTGTATATTTTTTAATGCACCGAAAGCCAGTCCTTTTAGCTATCTGGTGATATAAAGTTTTTTACAATCGATGAAGAAATGACTGAACAATTAAATTTTCTGAAAAAGCTTGCAAAATCAATAATTCACAATAACTCTCATCAATAATTTTATAGTATGCTTTGTAAGAAATATCAAAATTGTTGTTTTAACTGTTCTAAAAGCTTCAAGTGATTCTTTTTACATTAAAATGTTATTTTCTGAAACAAAAAAGGCAAGTATCATAATTAATTTTGCTTGAAACAAAATCTAGTATGCGAACAAGACGAAGATTTTTTAGAGAATTTAATAAGACAGCACCGACAACAAGACAATAATGAAGTGGTTTAACATTTTCAAAAATAATGGATCACTAGCCCGAAAAAAACGAAATATCGGCAATGATAATCTTTTAAATGATACCACCATTGGTGTATATGAATTTGTTACTAGATCTCCCAAGTCATCTATCAGAAAAATAGTGTTACATTTTAATATGAGTAGTTCCAAAATTCATAGAATCTTACAAGCACTGAAACTGAAACCTTACAAAATTCAATTAAACTAAAAATTATACGAGAGAGACAAATAAAAATGTCTTTATATGTGTGAGACGTTATTGGACTTGATAAGAATCAATCCTGAGCTCCTTTTAATAATGTCTGATGAAGCAAGTTTCCATGTTAATGGAGCAGTCAATAGACTCAATGGTAGAATTTGGAGTAAAGGTAATCCACATGAATTTTATGAAAGTGTAAGATATTCTCCTGAAGTGAATGTTTGGTGTGCTATGAGTAAATACAAGATTTACGGGCCATTCTTTTTGTAGAAAAAACAGTTACCGGTCCAATTTATACGGACATGTTAAGAAATATTTTTTTGCCCACAAATTGCTCAATCAGTTTCTAATAAATTCGGTAATAATAGGATTGGTAGGACAGGACCAGTTGAATGGGCTCCAAATTCGTCAGACCTATCAGTGCCAGATTTTTTTATTTGGGGATATGTTAAAGCTTTAGCTTATAATCCTGCACCTCGAAATTTAGAAGAGTTAAAAGATATAATACGTCTAACAATTGAAAGCATTACTCCCAACATGTTACAAAAAGCATATACAAATTTATTAATACGTTTACACAATTGTGTTAATGTAAACGGAGGACATATAGAACATTTAAATTATTCTTAAAATGTTTAATAAAATGTTAAATAAGTTAATTAGGCTATACTAGAATATCATTAATAAGCAATAATTTTTATTGATTATTGATTTTGAATACATTTTCACAAAAATTATTGATGAGAATTATTGTTAATTATTGATTTTGCGGGCTTTTTCAGAAAATTTAATTGTTCAGTCACTTCCTCATCGATTTAAAAAAATGTTATATCGCTAGATAGCTAAAAGGAGTGGCTCTCGGAGCATCAAAAAATATATTCCATTAAAAAAATTAACAAGTATGTCTATAAAAAAACAGCCATTTTGTTTTTCAGTAAACCGGAAGAGCTAAATAATTTTAGATTGACTGAAATAAAACTTGGAATAATTTGACACGCTTCGGTGAAAACCGCATGTTTTTAAGTAATTTCGTTTAAAAGTTATAAGCTTGCTAAATGTTGGAAAATATAATGGGACAGCCGGTATTAGTAAAACAAATTAAGATATATATTCTACTAATTCATGGACACAAAGCTTCTACATAATGTTTAATTCCACCAAATAATTGATGAATGCTCAAAAAAGGATTCAAATATGTTCACAAAAAATTTCAGTCCTAACATATTTATTATCTTGTTAGACAACTTGAATAGAAAAATAATTTTGTGCTTTTATGAGGATTTTCGTAACAGTTTTGGTTACATGAAAAACATTTTTAATTGTCATTGTTTAAATCAATTTTAGAGACGATAAATTGGTGGGTCTCAGCTGCCTAATATATGAATTTTAATTAATAACCCACCTTTGCTGCAAGGTATTTGTCGTCTGATGCTTTAGTAAGAAAATCAATAATATTTTCGTCAGATAGTACTAGCATTTTTTGGTTAAATACGTTCACTTTTTCACTTTAATAACCCTGATAGTTTCGTATAATGGTCTTATTTATTCCTTGATGTATGTATATTGGATAGTACTTTTAAGCATTGAATAATGGGCCCGTTAGTGTAGAGGATTTATATTTTATAGATAGTTCAGTAAAATGCACCAACAAAATTTTATGTTTTTTCTTTTGACTAACATACAATTTTCTGGTTTTCCTGACAATACATTCCGTGAAACAATTTCAGCAGCTTCTTTTACGTCTAGGGGAGTTAAAGGCATTTCATTTTCGGAATCCATTTTTTCTTAGTTTTTAGAAAACCATTTTACAAATTATTTTGCAGTCAAAATAATCCCTATAAGAAATGTCTGGGATTTTAAGAACTTTGATGTTAAAGTAGTTAGGTTGAACCGAAAATTCTGAAAATCAATAGGGTTCCAAGTTAGAAGGAATTAGTCTTTCTAGAATTATCGTGCCGGCAAGCATACGCACAGACGACCAGACGCATTTTCGGACTCACAATGACCGGAAACGTGAAAAAAATTCTTAAAAAGTGGGGATAAGAAATTTTTGTCGATTGCACGAATGCAATACCATAGAAAGGGTCTCAGTAATAAAAGTTTTTGCATAAAAAATATACGCTTAGGATCTATTTAAAACTAACACTCAATATACATAGAGTTCGATATTCAGGGTATCCTGAAAATAGAAAAATATGAAACCAGAAAATCAAAAATTTGCTCGGATCGAAATGTCAAATACATCAAAATTTTAGATTCTTAAAAAAGAAACAACTGTATTTAATAACTTTTCTTCATATTATAGGCTTTAATTTATCTGCAAATTATCCCTAAACATTGTTAAAAATTAATTTTTCCAATAATGGAAATTGCTAAGAAATTAATAGTCCTGGAAAAAAGATATGAGAAAAAGTTGTTTATTTTTTAACTTAAAATGTCATTTCCATTAAAACAACTTTTTGGTTTTATGTCGTCATACTT